GTGCTATGGAGAGTTTTGTTAAATGAGACACCCACCCTCACAATCCATTTCTTTTTATCTTTATAGAAGAAGAAGCGGAGAACCTCACAATTCTTCTGCTGCAGAAGTTAAACAGGAAGTTGCCAGGCAGGAGCTCTGCTAAGAGGTTTAAGAGGGGTGGGTGTGCTAGATGAAAGAAAGAAAGAAAGGCCAGGGGATTTCTGAGCTTTGGATCCAGAGAGAACAGTGGTTTCCCAATCATCACAACGCGCAGACAACCAATGGGATTCGTTGGTGATTGTTAATTAGTGCCAATAGCTGGGGGGACAGAACAGCCTACAGATTCCAAAACAAATCTAAATACGTGTGGGCTATTTGCTGGATTTAAACAAGGCTATTTCATCACATATTTGAACACTGTGAAACACAAAACTTGAAAGTAACTTTTTTTTGTACTCATGCCTGGGTCACTTTTATAAGAAAGATACTAGGGGAAAATAAAGAAAAATTGTATAGTCGTAGCTACATCCCAAGTAAAATTCTGCTGTAATTACTTATTTATATACAAACAAAAATTTATCACTGACAAAAATATGAATATGACGCTTCCGTATACAGAATACTATGCATTCTCTGGTCTTTTCTGCTGCGGTAGTTTTGGGCACAAACTCCATATCCACGTGTATCTCTAAGTCCAGTTGACCACTGATGAGAGAAAGGTTTGACAAACTTGGAAGAAGTCAAAATGGGCTCCAAATCCATTAAAAACTAAACCAACTTCCAGGTCCCTGAAGCACAGGAACCACTTGGGTGGGATTTACGGTTGTGGATAGAGGGATGCCCCCATGGCTCAGTCGGTTGAGGCTCAGCTCAGGCCATGATCTCTCAGTTCATGAGTTCAAGTCCCACACTGGGCTCTCTGATAGAGAGGGCACAGTTCAGATCCTCTCCTCCTTTCTCTGTGCCTCTCCCTCTGCTGGCACGTGTGCTTGCGTGCTCTCTCGCTCACGCGCTCTCTCTCTCTCAAAAAATAGTAGGCTTAAATTTTTTTTTTTAAAAAGTTTAAAGTTGTGGAGAAATGAAGTAGCGGCCCTGTGGGGTCTCTGGGTAAAACTGTTGTTTTCCATGGACTATCTCCGAGCATATCTAACATTCTAAATCCATAATTTCAAAGCCAAACTAAAAAATAAAACTTGTTAATGGATTTTTTTAAAATGTGAACTCTGTGGATGTTATTTGTAACTGTAATACTTTACAGAGCCTTACAACCTAGCATACAGTCAATCATCAAGTGGCTAAATGCTTAAGCCACAATAGAAAGCTTTTTGATGAACCGGGAAATTTCAGTCAGCACAATGCCAATAAGTACTGAATTAGTAAGTGAGGGTCTTCAGTGTCTGGATCCTCAAGTCTTACAGGGATTTCTTAAGCTAATTCTCTAGACCTATAACCTATGGAGAATCTCTTCTCGGAAAGGATTAACAAGAAGTGGCAAAAAATTAAACATTTCTCCTTCTACCATCCAAAAGGTCAGCCCTAGAGTTCAACTCTTTCTAAAAGGTCAGGAAGGCATAGAAAGTAACTCACTCTCTGGAAAGGTAAGCAAACCACTTCTGATTCTGACCCTGATTCATCACATCCCCCTAATTTCCACTCTCTGAGCAATCTCCTTACCAATTCTATCTCTCTCAGGTACCTTCCAGAACAAAGGGAATTCCGCCTTTCATGAGATACTATAGGAAAGGGCAATGTTACCGGTAGCAGCCTCTGATCATAGCCTTACAGATCTTTCTTTCCCCTTCCCTATTTCAGCCATTTTGACCATTCAGGATGTGTTTTTTTCAGGAAGAGTAAGTACAGTTCAAGGTTTGAGGAAGTGGTGCAGTAAGTCTGACATCTGACAAAGGGAGGGGGGCCAGATAATAGTGGTTAATCTTGGGTATAGAAAAATGCACCATAGTTTAATACACTAAGGAAGCAGTTTGGTATTGTGGGCTGTGGAATCATGCTCGGGTTTAAATACAGGCTCTGCTAAGGTGATAGAACTCTGGGAAAGTGGCTTAATCATTCATTGCCTCTGTGTCCTATTACATAATGTGTATTTTATTTTATAGAAAATGCAAATGTTACTGTCTACCTTATAGGGTTATGAGAATCAAATGATGGGACACAAATCTGGAAACAGTCAAAGCACTAAACAGTAAGCACCAATTCTGTTAGCTATTATTAGTACTATGTATATATTTTAAAAGAACAAGGTAATTCTGTTTGTAGTGACTTGGAATAAAGTCCATGACATAGTGTTTTCTGAAAATGCTATAGAATAACATAATTAGCAGAAGTCTATCTTGGGAAGAAAAAAGAAACACATAATACATATTTATGAGTACATTCAAAGAAGTCTAGAAAGGCACACACACCAAACACGAAACGGTTACTAACTCTAAAGAGAGCTGGAAGGGGGGAACGTACATTTGTAAACGTATAGGTCTTTGCTTGAATTCACAAGTATGTACTAGTTTTGTAACTAATTTTTTAAATATTTTAATCTATTCCTTATTTTGTAATGTTTAGTTATTTATTTTTTGAGAGAGAACGCATGCACATAAGAGTATGAGTGGGAAGGGAGAGAGAGAACCCCAAGCAGGCTCCAAGCTGTCAGCACAGATGCTGGCATGGGGCTCAAACTCACCAACCATGAGATAGTGACCTGAGCCGAAATCAAGAGTCCAAGCCACTCAACTCAGTGAGCATTTACTAACTAATTTTTAAAATTAAAGATTTCATGGTGGTCCTTCTAACCTTCAAACTGAACATCTCTCACATCCGGGTCTAGGAAAAGGCAAACTTCTTAGAAACAAGGAAATGGAGGCCCAGCTAGGAGGAGGTGGAGCCCCCAAGTCCCATCTATCCCTGTTACATGTCTCATTTCAGATTCCCTTATATTCTTTACAGTCCTGAGCATATCATGTGCCTGTCATAGGATCCAAACATTCCAAAACTGATTTTTATTCCCCTTTCCTGTTTGAGGTCCTCCTTTTACCTTGCCCAGATAGCTTCCACAGGTGTTAGAACATCTTCCTACTTCTCATAACTTTCTCACGATCTCCTTGTCTTTCTGCCCTTCAGACAGGTGTCCTCACCCTGGGAAACCCAGGAGTGACAACTGGCTAGGTTGTTCAGATTTTGTGGCAGGCGCAAGGCCCCCACCTACACAACAGTAGGACAGAGTATGAGTCCAAGCTGCTTTGCCTTCCAATGCATCTAAATGGGCTTTTAAACACTTTTTAAAAATTTCATTCAAGAAAAGGTGTTTGGTATGTTTGGACAGGCACTTTTTCCTTACACAGGTGTTTATCTTTGCTTTGGTTTCTCCTGGAAATTATAAGGCTATCTCATACCTCCCCCGATACAACGTTCCCTACCAGGCTTGTCCGTTGTTATGTGCTAATGGTTATTGTTTTAGCACCCAGCCTTCTCACTCGTTTTTGTCACCATCTTTTATATTCCAATAGTCTATCCCCTTTTATTCACCTCTTCTATTAAATATTTTTTTTAATGTTTTTTATTTCTAGGAGAGAGAGAGACAGTGTGAGCAGGGGAGGGTCAGAGAGAGAGGGAGTCACAGACTCTGAAACAGGCTCCAGGCTCTGAGCTGGCAGTCAGCACAGAGCCCGACGCGGGGCCCGAACCCACGAACCGCGAGATCATGACCTAAGCGAAAGTCGGACGCTTAACCGACTGAGCCACCCAGGCGCCCCTCTTCTATTAAATATTAAAGCCCATGGAGAAAAGGTCGTTTTGACGAAAAGGGAGGGAAAAAAAGAATTCTTGATTCTAAGCACAGCGCCTTGCAAACCCGGCCTCGCACCGGAACCCGGAGCTTCGGGAACCCTGCCAGCTCGCGGGTATCCGGGCCACCAGAACAGGGTCAGCATCGAAGCGCCCAGGCGTCGGGAGAGCTGATTGGTCCCCGGGTGAACCAACCAGCGGGCGATGCTGTTCGCGGAGAGGGGAGGGCCAAGATTATGGAGCCGATGGAGTTAAAGGAAAAGGGGCAGGTGTACCAGGCACTGGGGTTTTGCGTGCACTTGTGCACCCACCGGGTCACTGTTAAGCCCTGATCTCTGGTCTCCTGAAGGCCACCTTCCGAATTTTCCAGTTTCATAACGCTGAGTAGGAGGGGGAACCTTACTCATCCTATCATTCATAAGATGGTCATTAATAGTCAATGGAGGTGTAGCAGGGGAGGCGGGGAGGCCCTTAAAACCCTCCCTCCTTTCCCACTTCCACTCCAGGTCGTCAACCTGACTGAATCAGTTCTTGAAATAGTAAATCACTCAAACGATCGCTTAATCGCCAAAGCTGATTACCGAAATGCTATCGTTAGACACCTGAAATAAGTTCCCCCTCCCAGAGGACTGGGGGAAATGGTACTGGCATTTACCGAACGCGCAGGGGGTTCCTACCTACTAAACGAGAAGCGAGCAAGCTCTTAGACTTAAGCCAGAGAAACTGAGACCTTCTCAAATGTGCAACCTTGCACACGAACTGCCCCCCGCCCCCCCACCCCCACTCACGCGCAGCGACAGCTCCTCCTGACTCTACCCCACAAACTTCATGCGGTAGCGCAAAGATTTTGGGCAGGGTGGGCGCAGATACCCGATTTCCCTGCTGTGCTTCAAACTTCAGCAAAGCTATTCTACGCACTTTCTTCCAAGTGTCACAGCCCCCGGACTCACAGACCCGTCCGACCTTAGCTTTCCCACGGTCCAGCGCTGCGACCCACCCTCTACCACCCATGCCCGGGCTGCAGACGCTGCGTCCTTGGGGTTGGGGGAAGGGGGTGCGGGTGGGAAAAGAGGAACGGCCAGTGTAAGGAGAGAGGTCCCCGCCGAGGCCTGAACGCCGGCAGCCCCTGGTGGGCCCTGGGGCCGGGAAAGGAGGAGAGAGGAGAGCTGGAACCGTGCGGGGAAGGGCCGCGAGGAGAGCAGGGGCGCCGCCAGGGTCGCTGCACTCACTCTGCGTAGCCAGTGGCCCAGGGCAGCCGCCGGGTCTCCTTGAGGATGAGGATGGGACGGGCGATGTGGTCGGCGCTGCACTCCACCTCGTCCTGAGACAGCCCCAGGAACTCTGGCCGCCCGTAGGGGAAGCGCAGGGGCAGGTCCGAGCCTCCACAGCCGCCGCCGCCGTGCTCGGAGCCTGAGCTGCCAGCCATGATGCCGCCCATGAAATTGGCCACGGCAGATTTCACTCGAGTGAGCATATTACTCCGGCGCCCGGCAGCAGCGGTGCGAGCAGGCGGCGGCGGCGGGGGCCCCACGAGGCGCCGCGCGGGGCATGCAGGCTGCGGCGGGCGCCGGGCGCACGGGCAGCCGGGCCGCTGGGGCGCGCCGCGCGGCTCCCGGAGCCTAGTGCTGCAGGGGGCCGGGCCCCGGCCTCCCGCGCTCGGTGCAGCCGCCGCCGCCGCCGCCTCCCCCCGCTACACTTCCGCAACGGAGCGGCATGGAGCGGGCCGGCCGGGCCCGGGGAGACGCCGCGCGCTCCGGGAGCGACTGGGCGGCCGCAGCGGCGGCAGGTTCCTTCCCCGCCCTCTGCGCTCGACTCCTGCGTGAGCGGAACTGAGCCCACCCGGCGAGCCGGCACAGCCGGCGCGACTGCTGCCACGGCTACCGCCGCCGTCCAGTCATGTGATAATCAGGCTGCAAGGCTGCTAGGGCTCGGCAGCTGCTGTGGCCGAAGCCTCCGCCCCTCCCCTGCCGGCCCGAGCGAGGCTCGCGCCGGGATCGTGACCTCCCGGGGGAGGGGAAGCCGGGCTGGGTCGGTACCTGGCTGAGGGGATGGGGGCGCTGTGAGCTGAAGGCCGTATACAGGTGTCGGGGGAGGTCACGTGGAGCCGGGCAGAGCCAGTTGAGGACTCCCCTCCCCGAGGAATGACTGCCTACGCCTTTGGGAATGGAAACTTCGGGAGCTGGAGGTTTGGGAAGGGGAGACAGGTGGAAGCTCGGTGGGACGGCCCCTTGGCGAGCTGGTGGTGGAAATGAGGAACACCTGGTGTGAAAGACTTGTCAGCGCTTTAACACAACAGAACTCACAAGTGTTGCACAAGAATCATTAAAAGTTTTTCCCTAGGCAGTTCTAGAATTATTTCTTTATTACCACCACAAGCATCATTATCTACGCAGCAAACCCTGTTTCGAACCTAGAATAAGCTTTTAATGACAGGAACACAACAGAGCTCTAAGAAATCAGAAGCAAGACCCGTTTTACCTAGTCCTTCACTGTTTAATAAATTTATACGAGCACTTTCCTCCAACATAGCAACAAAAATGTATTTTCAAAGCTGATCCTGTTTGCTATTGAGACAATGTAAACTATTAAACAAAAAAAATGTCTGAAAAACCAACTGATGAATGTGTTTCATCAGGGGTAATGTTTGTTAAATATTGGCTTAATTTTTTTTTTTTTTTTTTTGCAAGAAAGCTGTATCCTGTTCATGTTTACTTATTCTGTATCCTGTTCCCATGTTTACCTACCATTTAACTTGCCAGGTCTGTGTTACTGGTGGAGTTACTCACAGAACAGCTCAGTAAGTTCGGAAGGGAATACAGTCCCTCATTCTTCTCAGTGAGCAGGAAACTGGAAGAGCCCTCCGAGTGTTAGGGGGAAGGTACTTCTCTGAAGAGGAACTAGAATTTTTGCTCTTAGCTGAGTCCTGGGTAAACCTCACTGATTCCCCCCCCCTTTTTTTTTTGTATCTATAATATATACGTATACTTTTTAATGTTTATTTTTGCAAGAGAAAGACGGAGTGTGAGCAGGGGGGGGCAGAGAGAGAGAGAAACGCAGAATCCGAAGCAGGCTCCAGGCTCTGAGCTGTCAGCATGGAGCCCATCCTGGGTCTCGAACCCAGAAACCACGAGATGATGACCTGAGCCGAAGTCCCACGCTTAACTGACTGAGCCACCCAGGCACCCCAGTATCTATAATATTTTATAAGGCATTTTCCCCTTTGGCTTTTTCATAAACAGGAACTCTGGTTTACTATATACCAAGTAATTATGTAAAAACCAAAAATGAAAAAACCAACATGCAAATGTTCAGTGAAATACTATTCCTGTCGATGAGTTTTATTACTTTTCACAAAACAGAAAAGTAATTTTATCTTGGACCCTTTTCTCTAATTTTAAATTTTGAGGCAAGATACTAAATAAGGCAAAATCTAAATGAACAACAAAGGTCTTCTCAACCGTTGCTTTGCTAAACTATAAACTCCTTCCAAATGGAAAATCTGTGTAGTGGCTAAAGGTCTAACCAACCACATGCACTGGCATCCACGGAGTCCCCATAAACTTAGAATCCCTTTCTCAAGCTCTTCTCATAGAACAATTACCCTTTACTAATGTCCTTTGGATACTTCAGTAACTAACCTCTATTGAGATCAATTTACTGTGTTCTGACCTACAATTCAATTATAGCAAGCATTTAGAGTTTACTAAAAATAGGATTTAAAACTTTTCCTGTCTAATTTTATTTCAATTTATTTTAAAGTAGTACCTGATCATCAATAAATAAAAATCCAGGGCACCTGGGTGTCTCAGTCAGTTAAGCATCCGACGTCGGCTCAGGTCATGATCTCACGATTTGTGATTTCAGACCCTGTGTCTGGCTCTGTGCAGACAGCTCAGAGCCTGGAGCCTGCTTCATATTCTGTGTGTGTCTCTCTCTCTGCCCCTTCCCTGCTCACGCTCAGTCTCTATTTCTCTCTCAAAAATAAATAAAACATTTTTAAAAATAATTAAAATTTTTAAAATAATTTTTAAAAAATAAGTACATAAATTACATCCAAGTGAATAGAACTGTAAATTGAAAAGTAAAAGACTCCAAAAATTTCCCCAGGGCATCACTGTTGTTAATATTTTCTCTAGGCTTCCAAAATTTTTCTCAAATACAATATCTGGAATAATTGAATTTGGTAATATTAGCCAGGTTTGTGAACCAAAGTTTTGTAAGAAGTTCCTCTGTTTCACTAACCTGAATATCACAAGAAAGTGATGATATATCTTTAGCTTTGCAAGTCTACTTTGTTCTGCAAAGACAGGCAGACATACTTTCATACCTGTTCTCCTTTGAATATTTTTTAAATTTTTTAAATTTTTATTTATTTTTGAGAGAGAGACAGAGTGAGAGAGAGAGAGAGAGAGAGAGAGAGAGAATCTGAAGAGGCTCCAGCTCTGAACTGTCAGCACAGAGCCCGATGCGGGGCTCAAACTCACCAGCTGAGCCATGAGATCATGACCTGAGCCAAAGTCAGACACTCAACAGACTGAGTGACCCAGATCCCCCTCCTTTGAATATTTTTATAGTATAAGTGTTCATCACTAACTAATAAATCCAGTATCTTTATACCCGCCTCTAAGACCAGTGTCACATCACAGGATTTTCCAGAGAAATATTTTCCATGTCATTTACTCCACAATTATGTCACTCTTGAAGATCAGTTGGGAGGGAAATTCTGATTAAAATGAGGTGGTCACCCCTTTTAGGGGAGTTACCCCCCCAAAAAATAATGCCTTCATACCTATTACAAATGCAAATTTGGAAGTATCTATATTCCCACCCTTAAGATGAGAGAGTCCCTGGATTCAAGTGGTGAGTAATCACACCCTCAATGTACTTGTTACACATTGTATGTATGCCCCAGTAATTAGTAGGTAAGCTTCATTAATCTCTTTCATATTTCCTTTCCCCCTGGAAAATATGAGTCTGAAGACCTTACCAGGACATTCATTTACAGGATAGATTCATGGATCTCATACTTGGTTACTTGTCCCATCAATACAATCACATTTCTAGGCCTGTAATACTATGGCTTTGATACACAATGACTATGCCATCCATAAGACTATTTTCAAAGGGGAAAAAAAGGTCTGGATGATTTCTTCACTGAAAAAATCACAGATTGCCCCTAAATATTCAATTACAAATGGAAAAACAATAACTTACAGTGGAAAAACCTGGCAGACATCACAGGGTTAATAGTACCTGCTGACATCGTTCAGTGACAAGGGTACATCACTTATGCGATATGCTTTCCCAAATCCTTAACTTCATTATAATCATGAGAAAACACGAGTCAAACCCAAACTGAAGATATTCTACAAAATATTTGACCAGGTATCTTCAAAAGTGTCAAGACCCTAAAAAACCAGGAAAGACTGAGAAACTGTGAGGTTGCAGACAGAAGAGACACACCACTAAATGCTGTAACTGTGTTAATTTCTTAGTTTTGATGTCAGAATTAGGGAAAGCTGGGTGAGAGGTATACAGTAACAAAAACGTTTTTCAAAAAAAGTCAGGGGCATTTTGGTTCAAGTAGAAAGCACACACTTGTTTGGAAGTCAGGCCAGGAGAAGGATGAATAGTGCCTTTCCAGGACTCCTCTCTCACACAGCTGTAGATTCATGCCTTCTCATAGTGCTAACTTCCTTGTATCATAACTAGTAGTTTACCTATGTCTTCCCTTTACGCAGTGAAGTCCTATAGAGGAAGAACATTCTTATTATCTTTGTATGTCTAGCACCTAGCCTAATGCCTAACAATAGGGTCCAGTTGGTAAATTAATTTTTTTAAAAAATGATATTCAGAGAGCACTTTGGTGGCTCAGTTGGTTAAGCGTCCCACTCTGGCTCTGCTTCAGGTCATGATCTCATGGTTCGTGGGTTCAAGCCCTGTGTCAGGCTTTGCGCTGACAGTGTGGAGCCTGCTTGGAATTCTTACTCTCTCCCTCTCTCTGATCCTCCCCACCACCCCCGTCTCTCAAAATAAATAAACTTTAAAAATTATATTCTTTATATTTATAACCTCTGTTTTCTTAAAGATTTTTCTCACTTTATCCCTTAAGATCTGTGCTAAGCAGCACTTCCTTAATGAGAGAAGGCTTAGCTCACTTCAGACAATATCCAGACTGGTAATAAATGGATATCAAGTCACGTAGATGTCTACTGCCCACTGAACTGGTAGGTAACCTGTTATAGCTCTTAACAAGGATATGACATTAAATATTTAACGTTAATTTGTTTTTGTTTCAGAAATAGTTCATTTATTTATTTAAACTAGGCTTCATGCCCAGCATGAAACCCAACATGGGGTTTGAACTCACAACCCTGAAATCAAGACCTGAGCAGAGATCAAGAATCAGATACTTAACCAACTGAGCCACCTAGGAGCTCCCAGAAATAGTTTGCATTCTGATTTCATATGTGCTAATGTACTGACTGAAAATCCCTGACAATCCCTGAATTGAAAGGGATTCATTTATTTCTTCATATTAAATGAGACCATTTATTTTATTTTAT